GGCCCGCAGGCGCACCTGGTGCACGGGGTGCAGGAGCAGAACTACATCGCGCACGTCATGGCCTTCGCCGCCTGCCTGGAGCCCTATGAGGCCTGCGGCCTGGCCTCCCCGACCCTCCAGAGCATCCCTGCGGGTTCCAGCTCTGCCGCTGCCTCATTGTCGCTGACGCTGCTGCTTGGGACGCTGCTATTGCTGCTGGGGGCAGTCGCCCAGCCCTGACCACGCAGCCCTACCGGGATCACTCCAGGGTCCCCGCAGTTGGTTCTCATTCCCCCGCCCAGTGCTCCTTAGGAGTGACTGCCTCCTTCCCCACGGGTCTCCACCCCAGGGTCCCCATCACTGGTCCCCGAGGCCCATGTTGAGGGCCTCAACCTTAGCCCTCACCCTGGGCTGCCACCTCCAGAGTACCCACTCAGACTTCTACCAAGGTATAGCCATCTCTGCGAGATGAACCAGCCTCAGACCTGGAAGAGCTTCCCTTTTTCACTTTGTGGACACTGGATGGATGTGCCGCAGAGGCGCCCTTGTGACTGAGGCTATGACACTCTTGCTTTCTTGGGACTGCTCTCTGATTCCCTTTTAGAACCTCAGCTGCCTACACCTTTGGAAAAAAAGCAGGCTCACAGAAGGACTCTCCACCACACCTACTAGCCTTGGGGACGACCAAGATGACAGCACCCCAGAGTGGTCCCCCACAGAGCCACATCCAGAAACCCCTGGGGTACCCTAGGACTCAAGAATGTGAGGAACCCCAGGGAGGCTGGCTTTCCGCCACCTTCCCACTGACCCTGCCACTGATTCTGCAGGCCAAGGAGGCTGCTAGCGCCAATCCCCAATGGGCTGTGACACAGGGCTCAGCTGTCCCTCTCTGCCCCTCTCTTCACCCCAGAGGCCCAGTGGTGCCATTACACATACTAAAGAGGTGCCCCAAGATACTCAGCATCTCGATGCTGGCCTCCCAGTGCCCATTCCAGGCCAGGAAATTCAAGAACCCTCCCCCAGACACAAAACTGGCAGGGATGGAGGGGCTGCCCAGAGCAACCCTGGGCCCCTCCCGGGACCATCTCAGGCTGCTCACAGATTTGTGAACAAAGAAGACTCCCTGCCTTTCTGGGGTCCCTATTCTCTTGAGAGAGACAAACCAATAATAAAATAAGCTGTTGTACAATATGATGTTGAAAAACCTTGAGCGAATGGAGCCCCCAGAGTGCTTGCAGACAGCTGCGTGATCGAGATTAGGAGGCCAGGGAGAGGCTGCCTGAGGAGCAGACAGTGAGCAAGAGTCCGGGACAAAGTGAGGGCCTGAGCAGTGCAGAGCAGCAGTGGTGGTTGGGGGCAAGGAAGTAGCCTGAGGGGTAGGAGGCGGGAGGGATGGGGAGGAGCTTGAACTCTAGACCTGTAAGACCTGGCTTAGAACACAGTACTCTAGCCGCTTCCAGAGAAGGTCTAGTCTTTTTTTCTCTTTCCTTTTTTAGTGGGGTGGAGCAGAGGTGGAAACTGGGCAAGCAGAGGGGAGGTATGGACTTCTAATATTTTTGAACTGCATCCCCCAAAACATTCTAGAGTACACAACCAAATAGGCAGGTCTTACCTACCCTAGTGAGAACATTTGAAAACATTATATGAAGGTGAAATCAACCATGTGTTTCAATAAATTTTGCAATATTATAAATCTATTTGTACATTTACAAAAACTCCAAAAAACACTTTGCTCCCATTAGAAATATTAATATGATCGAATATGCCTCCTTATTTACTAAAATCTTGATTTAACACTGTAAAGCATCAATTTGATAGCTTGGCTCTCAAGGCCGTTTATTTCAATTCTGAATTTTAGTGGCTGTCACAAAAACTATGGGAGCTGAAAGGAAGAAGGGCATCTTTAGCTGAATTTACAAAAATCATCATTCTTGTTTCTAAATTCCATCCACCAATTATGTGAAAGCTTTTGTTAAAATCCAGTTAGTATATTTTTGTCTTCCCTGATGTCAATTAGTTGGTCTTTCAACACAGTGGGAAGGTGTTACGTATTCATGTTTTATAAATATTTTTAAACCCAAGGACCTTTTCATTTCAAAACTACTTTTTTTTTTTTTTTTGCAGTGCTAGAGATGTACCCAAGGCCTCAGGTATGCTAGGCAAGCACTCTACCACTGAACTACAAGTTTGTTTGGTTTTTTTTCATACATATTTTTAGTTGTTGACAAACCACTTATTTATTTATTTATATGTGGTGCTGAGAATCAAACCCAGTACCTCACACATGCTAGGCAAGTGCGCTACTGCTGAGCCACAGCCCCAGCCCCCCAAACTGCAAGTTTTAAAAACAGTTTGTTCTGAAATTAGATGGTGGTGATAAGTTGCACAACATTGTGAATGTCCTAAAACCCACTAAATTGTGCACTTTACAAGGGTTAATTTTACATTATGTAGATCATACCTAAATTTTAAAAAACAGATTAGGTTGGATAGTTTCTGCTTCTAGGTTTCAAGGTGTGGGTATGAGTAGGTTTCACCAGTCAACTACATTCGGTGACCACAGAATCATGTGCCGAGGAAAACACTTTTCAAACCAGGTGCAGTGGTGCATGTCTGGCAAATCGGGAAGCTGAGGCAGGAGAATCAAAAGTTTGAGGCCAGCCTGGGCAGCCTGACAAGATCCTGTCTCAAAATAAAATTTAAAAGGGGCTGGGTCCATAGGAGAGTGGTAGAGCTCCCCTGGTTCAAGCCCAGCACTGCAAAACAAAAGGATATTTTAAAAAATGTTCTTTCTTTAGCGTAACAAGATAATTACCTTCTTACTTTTTCATTAAAAGGATATTTTTATCTAGATGGGGCCAGGGCAGCGAAAGTGCATTTATTTTTTTCAAGCTTTTTACTGAGTACCTAAAACTAAGTTCATATCACCTCAAAAAATACCAGCACACTCATCCTGAAGAAAGAGCCAGGCGAGGCGGTGCACCAGGTTCCCAGGAGGTGAGGCAAGAGGATCTGTTGAGCACAGGAGTTCCAAGAAAGACGGAGGAAAGTTAGGCGGAAAAACAGGGACTCAGAACAACTCCTGTCAGTACTTTTTTTTTTTTAAAGAGAGAGAGAGAGAATTTTTTAATATTTATTTTTCAGTTTTCTGCAGACACAACATCTTTGTTGGTATGTGGTGCTGAGGATCGAACCTGGGCTGCACGCATGCCAGGCGAGCGCACTACCGCTTGAGCCACATCCCCAGCCCAGTCCTGTCAGTACTTTTAAACGTACATCTTTAGGAGCCATAAAGAAGACTCATCATTTGTTTTCTGGAACGTTCTCATGGTCACCCCATTCTCATTACCAAAGATTTTACTCTAATAGGACAATCTTGATTTTATAAAATTCACCCCACTGATGGCCTCCGATAGCATTTGATATACCTTTGAAGCTTCCACTTCCATTCTCTCACGGTTTGATTGTAGATGAGTAGGTGGGTGGGTTAGTAGGTGGGTGGGTTAGTAGGTGAGTGGGTTAGTAGGTGGGTGGGTTAGTAGGTGGGTGGGTTTTGTAGGCAGTGCTACCTGTGGACCCTTATTGACATCCAGAATTCTTTAAAAAAAAAAAATCTTTTCTAATAGTTCTTCCACCAGTGGATCCACTTTTACTGTTTTCCCCACATGACACTGTTTTTATTAAACAAGGCATTTACTGTTGGCAATATATCTTCTCTGCTATGTCTTTCCTTTAGCTGCGCGCACACACACACACACACACACACACACACAAAGTGGTTTGTGTATTTCATTATTGGAACAGAATCCAGCAAATACCTTAAGCTGAAGCGTGTTAGAAACATCTGTACTTCCCTCCAACTGTATAGACAACCTCCCACACTGGGTAATTTGCTCTAATACTCATTTCTTCCAATCTATGGTGATGTTTTCTCCACATCTTCCAAGAGCATTTGCTGACAAGAAATGCCTTTTGGTTTGTCGACAGATCATTTACTGTTCATTGTTTCTGCCATTTTTACTGCAGCAGAAAGAAAAAGTGTTTGCCTAGTGGTAGGTGTTTTTTGTTTTATGCTATTATGCAAGAAACTTGAAAAGAGCTTTCCAAATATTTATCATTGCTTAGGGAAATATCAAAAAGCACTGGATTGAACAGCACATAACTTTAAACGTCGCCGGGAAAAGAATTGCGGGGGTTTGTATTCATGTTCTGAAAGCTGTTTTTAAATCCCTTGCAAACCATGAGTGTTCCATGCGGTTGTCGATGAATATCTCGGGGGACAAGGCACTATGAAGGATGAGGAGGGGCTAGCTTCAGATGGTTTTGTTGTGTTTGTTTTCTTTCTTTGGGGCTAACGCCTTGTCCCATGTCACATGGGGATGCACCAGGCTTAAGCCCAGCCACTTCTGGTTTGCCTGACTGTGGATTTTTTGTATTGTTTGCAGTTTCTTTACAGGAATCTTTTGTAAGCCACTTGACCATACTGGAGGATTAGTTTGGTTAAAACTAGATCATATAATCCATAAATCCACTTAGGCAGGCACACTAAACTCTAATACGTCACAATCCACTCAGAGTGAGCAAATTTGCAGGAGGAGGCTTATTCTGTCAACCCCTGGCCTGAGGCACCACATTCTTTCCCTCTGGAACAGAATCATATGGGAAGGTGCCCAGCTGTCCAGCTGAAGACTGACAGGGCTCAGTGTTAAACACAAGGAGTGTTTAGACCCTGTGACCGTGGGTGCCTTGCTCCTTGCAGAGCTCAGCCCAGGTTGGAGTCCCAGAGGACACCACATGTTCCCAAGCAGACCTGGAGCCCACTGCTCATGCCCCCTGCAGCTCTGGTGGCCTGCACAGAGTGATGATAGGGAGAGACAGGCATGCTCCCCACAGCCTCTCAGGAGGGCTCAGGCAGGTAGCAGGTGTATCCTCCTCCTGAACTTGGTGCTGTGTGGCATCCGATGTTGGTCCCAGAAACAGGTGCCCCCGAACCTGTTAGTACCACAGGATGCTCCATTTCCCCCCGGAGGCTCCCTGAATCCAGGCCTAAGGGAGGCCTCCAGAGACCTGGGCAAGCTACACAGAATTTGCAATTGCACCCTCTGATCTACAGTGGCCCCTGGGCCTTCTTACTCCCGCTGTGTGGGACTTGCACACTTGCTAGCAGGGCACACACCAGACCGCAGCACAGCTGAGCAGCAGGAAGATCCCCTTGATATAACCTTGCCCACGAGGGATGC